CACAGTTCTAGGGCCAACCTCATGTCCACTTGGAAGAATGTCGTGTTTGATTGCTTGCCTGCGTACAACAGGTAAAGGAGGATACAATCTCAAAGCTTCACACAAAGCACCATGGAGATATACTTGATCTTTCACTTCCTTTTTGTTCTGGATCTCTTGAAGAATCTTAGCCTCCACGTTAGGGTGCTTAGCAAGAAGCCAGAAGAACCATGTGAGAGTTGAAGTTATGGTATCTCTGCCTGCAACAAAAAGAACAAAAGCCGTGTCCCTCAGAAACTTGTCACCCACAGATTCTTTTCCTTCTTCATCCTTCATCAAAGTCGTTATCAAGTCATCATCCTCGTCCTCTGTGCTTATTACTTCTTTGTTTTGGCTGAGCTTTTCTCTCTTAGATGCTATGCTTTCACGGAGGAAATGGTCGAACGTTTGAAATGCCTCAGCTCTTTTCTTCACTGCTTCAATTCTAAGCCATCTCTGAAGCTTCCAAACGCTTTTAGGTAATATGTGTCTGTAGAATATAAACTCTCCAACTTCATTAAAAGCTCTCATGCATGCAACTTCTTGGAAATCAGGTGTGAGGCTTTTTGGGTCAAACCCTAAGACTATGGAGCAAATAGTGTCAAAGTTGAAGCGATTGAACACGTCTTGCACATCCACTTCAATCCCTTGCCTTTCCACATGGTCAAGAAGGGGAATGAGACAGCTTTCCACTTTCTTCCGAACGATCTTCTCCCGAAACTTCTCGAATCTTCTGGTTTTAAACGATGAATGGAGAATTGTTCTCTGGTATTTCCACATGTCTGAATCTGCTGTCAAAATCCCATCTCCAAAAGCTTTGAAAATCTTTCGGAACTCGGGCCCCTTCACAAAGTTGATGAAATTCTTGCTGAACATATAATGTACGTTCATGGGATCGCAAGTAACCACACAGTTCATTTGCGTAAACCAGGGTCCAATAAAGTTTCCAGTGCCTGCTTGTTTTTGCAGAGCCAAAGCTACATAGTCATGGACCTTCCACAAATTACAGAGAAGTGGTGGTAACATGCCTAGAAGAGGCCACTCTATTAAGAGGGGGTCTCTGCAATATCGTTTACAGTGGCAATAATAAAGGAAGAAGAAGAGTACTGCAAAACCTGCAACTGTTAGTGCAAGATGGAACATTGTTTGCAGGACTGGGCTTTCCATGCATGTGGAAGTATTGTGCGCGCGCGGTAGAATTATATATATAGCCGATAATTGAAACTTAAAAGCTTACATGTACGGTTCTCTTGAAGTTCGTATAGTTTGCTGATATTTAAATACTTGTATTTATTATATTACGTGTCTAGTATTTTTCTCTCTCTATAATATCTAAAATTAATTCGACATGATAATATGTCCGTACTTGTTTTGATTTTGAATTCTATAGTAAACTATGTGTTTGATTGATGCAATTTTGAATTTTAATTTGATTTATATTGATGCTAACATTCCTCTGTTTACTCTCTGTTTATGCATAATTTTTGTTTTTTAAAATAGCAAGAAAAACAACCTCTGCATTAAACTATATATAATAATAAAAGAACATTTAAATACAGTATGGCAGAAAGTCAATATTATAATTTTATAATATCCAAAATCCAGACGCATTCAACCAACTCCAATATTTCAAAATATACACGTATCCATTCAACCAAAATTCGAATATATGTAACTGTAATACATGACTGTGAAGATATTTTGATTTTTCAAAACATTTAGAAACCATGATACAAAAAAAGGGGGGTCTTTAACAACATATTTAGCCAAGAACAAATAGGGTTTTAATTTGGTGAAATTCTTCCCGTGGATGCATTTAAAGATGCAGATAACAGGAAATATGAATCTTAGATTATTTCCTTATTTCCACTCTTCATTTTAGATACACCAGGACTACATGAAAGGAGATTATCATATGCTCTATTTTTTGAGTATTAGATTTCTTTTTTTATAAACTGGCGTGTGTTATAAAATTAAAATAATTATTAATTTATTTAGGGCAGTCACTCGAGTCTTGATTCTAAAATATGAGTGTCCCAACGCAATTAAGAAGCTGTCGTCTCTCATCACTCATTGCCCCTCTTGCTAAAAAGTCCGTCGATACGACGATCTGAGACAACCCAGAAGAAGAAATGAGACGATGGCTTTGGTTCTAGCCTCAATCCTTCACTCATCATCGTTACGCACCAAAACCTTTCTCTCAAAATATTTTCAGTATTAATTATTAAAGTAACGTTAACTAATTATAATTATTTTTTATTTTATTTTTAATTATTTACTTTTTCCTTCTGATTTCGTCCTTAAACACGTACAAGTGCGTGTGGTGGGCGTAACAAGACAAATAATTTTGGATCAATGGGGATTATTAATATAATTAAATGTGCAGATCGAACATAATTTTCATCAAGTTAAACCAGAGAAACGTGCAACAGCCCTTATTCATTTTTCTTTTTGCCCTCGGTTTCCTTATACTCCTCCGGTCCTAATTATAAGACCCAATTGACTTATTTGAGGAGATTAAGGAAGTAAGTTAAGTTGGTTATTTATAATAAATAAGTGTTGTTATTCCTAAAATAACCTTGCTAATTAAGTATATTGGCTAAAACTATCATTATTAGAAGGATTATCTTGGAAAAAAATACATAAATATAAGAGAGAAAATGGATTGGGTCTTATAATTAGGACCAAATAAAAAGTCAAATTGGGTCTTATAATAAGGACCGGAGGAGTATATAATTCAAATCTATTACTCTTCTGGCCTTATTTATAATTCACTTTTAATATATTTCACACAGATCAAGAAAAACTTTAAACTTCATTAACTCTCATTTAAAATTCAATAATTTTTCAACTATTTAATATACATTATGCTTCATGTAAACAAAGTCAACACAATAATAAAGAAAGGGTAAAATTGTATATTCATTAAAAAAATTTCTTAGTGCCTTATAAATATGACCAAAAAATATCTTCTCTCTCTGCTTTATAAATAGGATCAGAGCGTTACTTTGAAATTTAAATTAATTTCTGTCAAGACCAGAGTGTTAGGTTAAAACTTTCTCAATAAGTATGCTTTTCAAAATTTAAACTTGTGTTCTCCTTTTTATATGGTGAAAAAGCTTATCATCTTAACTAATAGTTTGTTGGGTGGTTAAATAAAATTTATTAGTAGACTTTCAAATATTGGCGTTGGGTTAGGGGGATATTGTGAAATGTAAGTTAAATGTGGTTCTTAAAGTAGGACGCACGCAATTAATAAAACGAAAGAAATGTGCATAAGCTTTTTTCTATAAAAACACAAATTCATCCATATAAAAAGACAGATATTTTCTCATTCAATTTAATGAGAATTGCAATAGAGTCTCATAAAAAATAACTATTAAAAAGTCTCAATAACAAGTGAATAGTTGTTATTTTCTATTATAAAATTTGACATTACAAGCTGCTCAATTATTATTATTGAGATTTTATAGTAATTATATTTCTTAATTAGCATTTTATTAAAATTCTCCCTTCAATTTGTGTACATCTGGTCAGTGGGCCATTGTACATAAGGCGATATGCCCTAAAATCCGATCCCTCTTTCCCATTGTCATAATCCTCCCCATATCTTTACGGAACTAACTAAATTTTTATCTGATATATGTAAAAGCACAAAATTATTGTTGCGCGGGCTCATTGTGTGTGTGTGTGTGGGCCGTGGGCTCATTATCACCATGAATATATGCTTTTTGTGGCGACATTAGCGAGGAATTAGAAAATTCTTTCTTGACGTAAATGTAACTCCTAATTAATGTTGAAAAGTACGTACACAAATCAAGGAGTACCAAAATCTATATACTCCTCCGGTCCTTATTATAAGACTCCATTTGACTTTTTATTTGGTCCTAATTATAAGAACCCAATCCATTTTGTCTCTTATATTTATGCATTTTTTTCCAAGATAATCCTTCTAATAATAATAGTTTTAGCTAATATACTTAATTAGCAAGGATATTTTAGGAATGACAACACTTATTTATTATAAATAACCAACTTAACTTACTTCCTTAATCTCCTCAAATAAGTCAATTGGGTCTTATAATTAGGACCGGAGGAGTATTATGTAACAGTTAGTTTTTTCTTTCTTGTTTTACTCTTTATTTAATGTCACAATATTTATTTAAACTTCAACTGCTTAGAAATAAGTATTAGTTATATCTAGAAATCTGTAGTGGGACATATATTTAGAGACAAAAGAAAGGTAAAAACTAGGACGTATATTTTTTGTTGAAGGAGTAATTAAGTGCTTTATTTTAATGTTGGTTATTTTAAATTTTTGTCAGTTTAATTGATAGGAAGGAAATATCATAAATTTCACCGATCGAGGTAGTCTCTGAGAATATATATGGCAGAAATATTGTGCCACTTATCATATATTAGATGGAGCACGAACATGTAGTAAAACTTAAAATTTCGATTTAATTTATAATACAATTACAGCCTTATATTACCTCCATCATCATGCTATTATTTGTGCTGGAAGGTCTTCACAAGAAACAGACAAATAGAAGTAAGAAAAACTAGGTTACAGCAAACCAATCTTAATAAGCTAAGCCAATACCTTACAAAAGCATTCAAATCCCTAAAGGGGGAAAAAATTGGCTAAAGGTAAATTAGGAGAAACCACCATCCTATATAACGAACACAACTTGTAGCATCATCACATTGCAAGCCAGTCAGCAGCTTGAACATTGTGCTTTATTTATTAATCTAATACAGGTACAAACAAAACCAAATTGCTTCGAGGCTTCTGCAACTTCAAACAACACACACACACACTCACACACTTCCGTGCAACCTTCTTCCTGCAGTTAATCAACCTCGTTTTGTGATTCAAACTTTGAGACCATACTTCATCTGAAGCACTATCGAAAGCGTAGGAGAAACAGGATGATCTTCCACCACATGGACATGATAATTTGACAAGATAGCCGTAGCCATTACTTCATTTGAATGAAGGACATGTCGTTACCTAAGCAAGTCCCGGGTCCTGCAACGAAACTAATGAACTTGTACGAGGGTACGTGAATTATGTCTCCTCTTTCAGAGATCCATCCCTCGGGCTTGAAATCCAAGCAGTCTTTTCCCCATATCTCTTCACACCTTCCTATTGCATATAAAGACAATATTATCACAGTGCGAGGATCAACCAGCTCGTGTCGGCTAGGGAGCATGTCGTATTTGATTGCTTGCCTACGCACGTAAGGTATGGGACGATATCGTCTTAAAACTTCGCACAAAGCAGCATGGAGATATACTTGGTCTTTCACTTCCTTTATTTGCTTAATCTCTTGAACAATCTTAGCTTCAACTGAAGGATGTGCAGCAACAAGCCAAAAGAACCATGTTAGGGCTGAAGTTATGGTGCTTCTTGCAGTAAAAAATCCAAAACCAGTGTCCCTCAAAAACTTGTCATTGATGTGTTCTCCTTCCTTCATGCACAAACTCAGCATGTCAAGAAAGATGAATAGCTAACGTAATGTTTTAGGGTTGAAGTCGTTTATTATTCATTGATAATGAGATGAATATATAGCCATGTACATGTTCTGTTGCAATAGCTACCTGATACGATAGAGCAAGTGGAAGGCCAAGTTTAAGTAGGAGAGAAGTAACCCAGTTGATCTCAGCTGCAGTGTTGGCAAGGGCCCTATACTCAGATTCGGTGCTTGAACGAGCTACAACATGTTGTTTCTTTGATGACTATGAGACAAGGGCACCAGCAAGATAGACACAGTAACCCGAGACAGATCTACGATCCATGGGGCATGCAACCCAATTAACATTAGAATAAGCAACAAGACAAAGGGATCAAATTGGTCTGATTAGAATGCCATACATAATTGTGCTTTTAAGATATCGAAGGATTCGTTTGACTCATTGCCGATGAGCAGAAGTTGGCTTGGATAGGAACTGGCTAAGCTAATTAACAAGGTATGAAATGTCAAGCCTCATGTTAGTGAGATATTGGAGAGCTCCAACGGCAGAGCAAAATTTAGTTGGGTCACTCAACATATCTCCCTCATCGGCAGGGAGTAACGTCCTAGATGCCATAGGAGTAGAGCATGGCGCTGCATAAAGCATGTTGAACTTTCTTAGGATATCAGTCATATACTTTGCCTTAGTTGAATGAGGATAGTTCCTTAGGCTTCAACCTTTATTGAACAAGAATAGTATACAATCTCAATTCTCTTGTCCATATACCTCTCTACAAACTAGCAGAGCAAAACAGAAACACTGTCACATAGTTGAGCTGGGTCTCACACTACTAGCTTAAGCACACATGCCGCTACAATGTTGGCGGGAATCTTTTCATACTGTTGTTCACTTAATTAACATATTCCCAACTCCTATTCTTATGGGCAAATCTCCCTTCCAAATCCTATATATATAAAAAGGCTCCTAACTACACAAGACTTAAAGCTTTTGGGTGTGCATGTTATCCTTGTTTCAAGCCTTATAATCAACACAAGCTTCAATTTTACACTTCTCATTGCGTGTTTCTTGGGTACAGTGGCCAACATAAAGGCTTTAAATGCCTTAACTCTAATGGGAGAATTTTTATTTCAAGGCATGTGACATTCAATGAAAAGGGTTTTCCCTTTGCAACCAGCGTCCTTCATATTTCTCAATCATCAAAGATTGTTGAACAGAGCCCAACACCATTTTTGTTTTGCATTGAGCAAAAGCATGTTACTGAAAATCTTAATGGTTCTTCACAATCCAATGGATCACCACCTAATTCTCCTGAACTAGTATTGTGTGCCTATGTTGGTTCTTCTGTCCAGTGTGATAACACTCCAACACAAATGAGACCATCTTTCTTGATTCCAATAATCAACAAGATCATTGTGTAGTGCTGTCACCCTCACCTACACTAGTACCTGAGACTATGATAAAGGTCATGCAATGGTCACTTGTTCAAAGAAGGAAATTTTTAAGCCAAAATACCCCTTTGTTGGTATGCTCACTAGCACTTACTCTGATGATGTGGAGCCTACATGCATCACTGATGCACTATGCTCACCTACATGGAAGGGAGCCATGCAATCTAAATTTGATGCTCTAATTAGAAACCAAACATGGCAGCTCATACCTCTGCCTCAAAATCATAAGCTTATTGACTGTCGTTGCGTTTTTAAAGCTAAGTATAACCTAGACAATACAGTGTCCAACCACAAAGCCCATTTAATCACGAAAGTTTTCCAACAAGAAGCAGGTGTGAACTTTGGAGCAACCTTTAGTCTAGTTGCAAAAATTACAACTATTCAGCTTATTCTCACTATATTAGTGACTCTTAATTGGCCAATACATTAACTTGACATCAATAATTCCTTAATGGTTACATTACAAAGGAAGTATACATGCGGTAGCCATAAGGCTTCATCAACCTCATATGTCCGAATCATGTGTGTAAGCTCCGTAAAGCTCTCTATGGACTATGTCAAGCACCACATGCCTGGCTTGATCGCCTATGTCAAACCTGAGTTGAATGGGGATTTGAAAGTGCAAAAAGTGATAGTTCTCTCTTTGTCCTTCGGAGCTCTAAGTTTGTTCTCTTCATTCTCATATATGTTGATGACATACTTGCAACTGGTAATGACTCCTACCAGCTTCATATCTTCACAAAGCGGCTTCATACTCTGTTTTCCCTCAAAGACCTTAGAGACCTTCATTATTTTCTTGGTCCTAAGATTCATTGTGATTGTACAAGATTACAAGTCAGCCAGGCATTATGTAGCGCTATGCTCTACTTCTATGGCATTTGGGATGTTACTCTCTGCCGATGATGGAGATACGTTGAGTGACCCAACTAAATTTCACTTTGCTGTTGGAGCTTTCCAATATCTCACTAACATGAGACCTAACATTTGGTATGCTGTTAATCAGCTTAGCTAGTTCTTATCCAAGCCAACTTTTACTTATTGGCAAGGAGTCAAACGAATCCTTCATTATCTTTAAGACACAACTATGTATGGCATTCTAATTAGACCAGTTTGATCCCTTCATCTTGTTGCTTATTTTGATGTTAATTGGTTGCATGCCCCATGGATCATAGATCTGTCTTGGGTTACTATGTCTATTTTGCCGGTGCCCTTGTCTCATGGCCATCAAAAAAACATGTTGTAGCTCGTTCAAGCACCGAATTTGTTAATGGAGTTTCAAATACTAGCGTTCGGTTAGGAGATTTTCTGAAATGTAGATGGGGTGTAAAGGATTATGCAATTAATAAAAGAGTTAACAATTTAAGATATAAATTTGTCCTATAAGTTTTTACTCAAGAGTGTTGGGTATTTAGAAAAAAATTTTGTGTAAATTTGTTTCAAAAGTTTAAAGTCATGGTAATGTTGCTCTCTATAAATACTAACAGTTGATAACATTATTTTAATGGTTAATGTTAATTTTTTAACAGTATAAGATAACACTGCTACAATTTCAAACTTTTAAGTCAAATTTGTATCCTAAAAAAATTCCCCGTATCCAGTGCTCTTTAATGAAATTTTTTTAGAACAAATTTACACCTTAATCCAAATAAATAAATTGAAGAAAAACCAAGTTACAGTAAGCCAATCCATTATTACAAGCATTCATATACAAAGCGAAAGAATTGGCTACAAAGTAAGTTGGGAGAAACCAACATACTATAACACACACAACTCTTAGCATGATCACATGCAAGCCAATCAGCAGCTTGAATATTATTGCGCTTTGTTTATTAACCTAATACAGACATAACGACGACATTGCCAATTTTTAGGGGGGGGGGGGAGAGAGAGGCACAAACAAAACCAAATTGCTTGGAGCCTTCTGCCACTTCAAAACATATATACTTCGGCACAACCTCCTGTCCTCCTCCTCCTCCTTTTTTTTTTTTTTGTGGGGGATAAACTCCTCCTCCTTCTTCTTCTTCCGCCTCCAGTTAACTAACCTCTTTTTGTTATTCGAACTTTGAGGCCATACTTCATGTGAAGCACTATCGAAGTGTGGAAGAAACATGACATGATCTTCCACCTCATGGACATGGTAATCCGACAAGATAGCAGTGGCCGTTATTTTCATTTGACTGAAGGACACAAGTCCAAACCCAAACAAGGCGGTGGGGCGTGCGATGAAATTAATGAACTCGTGCAATGAATTTATTAATGATTGGTGTAGGTTGCTAATTGTATTTATTTATTAATATAGTGGACCTTCAGATTACATATTAGCGTTCGGTTAGCGGATTTCTTGAAATGTAGATTCACATGGTCCTTAAAGGAATATGCGCAATTAATAAATCGAAAGAAACGTGCACCAGCTTAAAGTTTAATTAATTTCCTTTGTATAGCTGGTATGAGTAGTAAAACTCTTTCCATTATATGAGCTGAAGGGTCTTCACAACTTTTTTTTCGGTGCTAAAAGTGACGAAATTAACAAACCCAAACTAGGGGAAAAAAACCCCAATTGCTCATAGTACTTTAGGTTCTTAATATAAAACTAGTTAACTAATTTAAAGAGATTAAAAAAATTAGTTAAAATAGTTATTTGTATAAATAGGTCTTTCTTTCCTTAAATATCCTTATTAATAATGTGTATTAGAATTATCCATTCATAAAAATATTCAACATGTGCAACCATTATAATAAGGATTATTTTAGAAAAAAGTGGATAACTATAAAAAGCAAAATAAATTAAAATCTTATTTTCAACACCAAATTAAATACTAAACTAGATTTGTAACAGCATCACATGTGAGACGTAAAATTTGCAAAGACATTTAATGGGGAAAAAATTTGCAAACACAAATATAGTGGGCCATACTTTAAAATTGAAAATTGAATTGCAAATTGCCAAATTGCCTACAACTGGAGATGGGGAGCAGGTATATCATATATGTCCAAGGCAAATGCCAATACACGAGAGCCGCATTGAGGCTCTTCTCTTTCCCACGCATCATTATTTCTTTCCTTGAGAAACGTGCATAATGATGCAAACCAACATCGTCATCATCATCATCATAATAAAAGCATGTATAATTTTCTTCTTTAAAAAACAAAGAAATAATGCCTTCTTTACTCGGTAAAAAAAAATTCTTCAGATCCTATACAATAAAAAATATTTACTAAAATACTATAGTTAAAATCGTTCAGAATAAAAGCAAATTTAAAATTTCAATCAAGTCGTTCTTGTAAGAACAAGCTCACTTTATGATATCAGGAAAAAGTGACATCAAAATTATAATTTTATATCATAATTTGCTTATGAATTTTGTATGTATTTTTGTAATTATAATTATAAATTTGTGTTTATGATTTAACAGGTATGAAGCTAGGATAGTATGGTCTTTTAACATTTATAAAAAATTATATATAACGAAGTCTTATTTGGCACATATGCATGATTTTGGCATGGAGAATCAAGATGCATGTGAAGGGAATGGATCAGGCATTCTAAAGGAACGCACCCCATACACGGTAGGCCCAGCCAGAGTAGGTACTTCGATGTCAAAATTGAAATCGTCTTGTGTGAGTACAAGTTCACTTCCTTTCTGATATCATAAAGTGAACTCGTTATTGTTAACAATGACGAGCTTGAAATTTTAAACTCGTTCCTACTCTCTGAACAATTTTAAATGTAATATTTTAATAAATACCACCTCCGGTCCTAATTATAAGAGCCAATTGACTAATTTGAGGGTATTAAGAAAATAAGTCGAGTTAGTTATTTGTTCTCAATAGATGTTGTCTTTCCTAAAATATCATTGCTAACCAAATGTATTGACTAGAACTATCATTGTTAGAAGGACTACTTTGAAAAAAAAAGTATAAATATGAGAGACAAAGTGGATTAGGGTATTATATTTATGACCAAAATAAAAGTCAAATAAGGTCTTATATTAAGAATCGGAGGTAGTATTTTTTATTATATAGGATTTGAAGTTTTTTTTTTACTGTTTGCGGTATATGAGTAAAAAAGCTAATATGCGTAAACCAAAATTTTCATCACACGCATATCATAACACTGCGAGGCCCAACAGTTAATGCGCCTCTTCTGTGGCTTTAGCAAGCAACGATATATGTGGCATGGGGTTTTTACTTAGGAAGTAACCCTTCTCTCTAATTTCATAATGCCCGTCAAAATTAGCAAGACACCTTATCCTTCTGTAATTACAGTTTAGCGAGCTTAAAATGTAATTAATTAAGAGATAAGGGACTTGTTTCTCGCTTTTGGTTGTGGTCACGTACTAAAAATAAATATACAACTCACTTGAAATTTTAATGGCAACGCATGAAAAAGAAAAAACTATGAGTTACAGCAAACCAATATTAATTAATAAGCTCAGCCAATCCCTTACAAAAATTCATATCCAAAGTGAAAGAATTGGCTACAAAGTACAGGGTCTTAATTAATTAGCATTATCACAATATAAAAGCCAATCAGAAGCTTGAATATTGTGCTTTATTTATTAATCTAATACACACACACAATAACATTACCAGGAAAACAGAAACAGGTACAAACAACATTCCACAACTTTTATTCAACTTAAACACACACACACACACACAAACACACAAATAAAACTTCAGTTTCTTCTCTTCCTCCAACTAATCAGCCTCGTTTTGTGAGTCGAACTTTGAGACCATTCTTCATCAGGAGCACTATCGAAAGCATGGGAGAGACGGGATGACCTTCCACCGCTCGAACATGATAATTCTTTAAGATAGCGGTAGCTATCATCTTCATTTGAATGAAGGCCAGGTCCTTACCCATGCAAGTTCGTGGTCCCGCGTTGAAACTAATGAACTTGTACGATGGCATGTGGACGATGCCTCCTCTTTCAGAGATCCATCTCTCAGGCTTGAATTCCAAGCAATCTTTTCCCCATATCTTTTCACACCTTCCCATCGCATACACAGATAATATTATCGCAGTACGAGGACTAATGTCGTGTCCACTGGGAAGCATGTCGCGTATGACTGCTTGCCTGCGCACATAAGGTACAGGAGGATATAATCTTACAGCTTCGCACAGAGCAGCATGGAGATACACTTGTTTTTTCAGTTCCTTGACTTGCTTAATCTCTTGAATAATCTTGGCTTCAACTGAAGGGTTTGCAGCAACAAGCCAAAAGAACCACGTTAGGGCTGAAGTTATGGTGCCTTTGCCTGCAAGAAAAATACCAAAACCAGCGTCCCTCAAAAACTTGTCATCCACGTGTTCTTCTCCCTTCATGATCAAACTCAGCATGTCATTCTCTTGTTTCTTTGTTTCGTTCTTTTGGCTCATCTCTGCTCTCTTTGTTGCTATTGTTTCACCGAGGAACCGATCAAAAGCCTCAAATGGTTCGGCCATCTTTTTATCCACTCCAATTCTCAGCCATCTTTGAAGCTTCCAAATCCTTCCGGGCACTACGTGTCTGTAGAATATAAACTCCTCTAATCTATTAAAAGCTCTCTTGCATTCAACTTCTGGGAAATCAATGGCAAGGCTTTTAGGGTCAGATCCTGACAGGATGGAGCAAGTGAGGTCGAAGGTTAAGCGATCGAACACGTCTTGCAGATCCACGTCCACAGTTTGCCTTTCTACGTGATCAAGAACTGGAACCAGACAAGTCTCCACCTTCATTTGAACGATCCTCTCCAGCAGCTTCTCCAAACATTTAGTTTTGACAAATAATGAATGGTAAAGCGCTCTTTGGTGTTTCCATGCGTCTGAA